CCACCACCCCCCACACTCACCCCCCCCACACTCACCCCCCCCCACACTCACCCCCCCCCCCCCACACACTCACCCCCCCACACTCACCCCCCCCCACACACTCACCCCCCCCACACACACCACCCCCCCCACACTCACCCCCCCCACACACTCACCCCCCCCCCCACACACTCACCCCCCCCACACTCACCCCCCCCCACACACTCACGCCCCCCCCTGTAACGGGGGGTGGGGGAAATAGCTCTATCTTGTCCATTATTCCACCCCCCAGTTAACTAACGAGGCCGGGGGAAACGGCTCTCTCTAGTCCGTTATCCCGTCCCCAGTTAGCTAACTATTCTAGAGCTCTCCCAGAGTTCCTAAGGCAACCTCTCTCGTTCAACACCTTGTAACCTAGGTATTTGACTACCTAGGTGCTAAGACTACAAGGCGCCGTCACTTGATCAGTTACCCGAAACTCTAGAGAGAACTCTAGAATACATAATCATAGCCACAAACGTATAAGAGAAAACGAAAGGAAAGAAATGAATAGTGAAGTAATTAGTGAGGGTTTGGGGTGAGAGGGAGAGAGGTGGGAGGAGCGAGGAGGGTCATTAGCTGAAAGTGAGAGTTTAGAGAGGGGTGGAGGGAGAGGTGTAGATAGGTAGAAGAGTAGATAGTAGAAGTAGAAGAGTAGATAGTAGAAGACGAAATGCTGCCACCATCCATTCTAGACCATTACATACAAGACAAGGAATGGAACTTGCCTGTATCACAAAATTCTCAAAAGATGTTATCATGAGTTCATTATTAGTATGTTCCCTCTGTACCATGTACTCATTAAAATCAGGGAACCAATAATCCCCGAGGCTTTCTCACCTCAACTCAACTCTAGGGACACAGTGAAAGACCATTTAAATAATAAATTCAACAATTATATTTTTCATGATAAATATCATAACTTAAGCAATTCAATTAAAATGTTCCAGTTTAATATGCAAAGTGAGTCATCATCCAAGAATTCGAGAACCCTACAACTTGACTGCCCCTGATCATCACACAACATATGTAAACACGACCAAGTCACCTAAATGTTCACTCACCGAGTACTGAGTCTAAGTTGAATAGAGAGGGGGGGGGGGGTCTGTAGCTTGACAGAGACTGTCTCGCCCCTGCCGGCCGACAGCCTCCCTGGTAGGGACGTCTTCTCTCTCTCGTCTGCTGCTCTGTCTGTTAATGCTTTCTCTGCTGGATAGCTCTCCGAGTTTATATTGGGGAACCTAGTAGCTAACTCCGCCCACAAGTAGATAGCCTCCGGCACTACCAAGCCACTCCTTAAACGTCGGCATGTTTGAAGGCTACCAGACTACAATTATAAGCTTAGCGGAAGCAAGGTGAAATTATCATGATCTGACCTCAGGTCACTTGGGGTCATTAACGGTTAGAGGTGTGAGATCTCAGGCAGACAACTGGCGCCTCTCAGATCCTTGTCTGTGACTCATGTACTCTATATATATTTTAAATAAACTAACTCAAACACTTTTACAGTGTTACATCTCCCCTTCTCCCCGAAAATAAAGTTTTTGCAACACTGCTAAAGCAAGCTAGCTGTGTGCGACAACTTTATTAACGAAAAGAATACATCCTAGCTAAACAAATATACATCATCCTACTCTAAAAAATGAAATATATAGACAGACGTCCATTGTCTCTGGCTGGGCGACGTCACTGCTTGGTCTTGTAGATAATCCTGTACCACATTTCTTCAACACAACTGCCTCCGTCGCTTCTCCGTCGTTAACGCACAACAACACTTGGTCAACCCGAAAGCCGTTACTACTTGAACTGAGCACAGGACCGTGGAATTCGGTTGTCCCAGCTGATCTGTAATTGGCCCTACGTCAGTCACCATGAGAGACGTATATTGGGGTTCTTCACAGCTATAGGGACTACAAGTTTCGAGACCTTCATATAGTTGCCAACAGTAGAAATCCCATCCTACTCTTCTTCCTCCCTGTTGCTCCAGCACGCCTCCTTCAGAGAGCTACTTCTGACAGCCACATCAAGTCCGCATGACACAGGAAGAATCACTCAACAGAGCAACATGCTTGCAGGAGGGGCGGCCAGTTAAGGCAAACGATCCTGTCTTGCAATTACGCTCCATGCAATGATGCTGACACCAGCAAGGGACACGAGGCATCGTGTCTCACTCAGCTTGTCTTATCTTCTTCTTCTTCTTTCTTCTTTTCTTCTTCTCTCTTCTCTCTTCTTTCTTCTCTCTTCTTCTCTTCTCTCTTCCTCCTCCCATGGGTCTTTGACAAGCGACCTGGGGTCCATTGGGGTCTGTCCGTCCTGGGGTCCATCCTGGGTAGACCGATGTTGGTGGGACAGACTGGAGTCGTTGTTGCTCCTCTTCCATCATTACTGGGTCGTCTGGGGTCGTCTGCAGAACGACCTGGGGTCCACTGGGGGTCCGTCTTGGGGTCCGGGGTCCGTCCGTCCTGGGGTCCACTGGGTAGACCAATGTTGACCGACCGAGAGGGCTGCATCTTGGGGTCCCCTGGGGTGGTGGTGGTGGTGGAGCCATGACCTCCAGGTAGTGGGCTGGTCGTGGTGGTGGTGATAAACGCCCCTGAGTGTGGTACACAGCAGCCGTCTCCCTCTTCTGTATGTGCGTCTCTCCTCTCTTCTGGCTCCCACCTGTGGATGAACATAAAGGCGACAATACCCGTGTTCCATGCTGTTGTGTGACCCTGTAGTTTGTATAGGGTTACACAGTCCAATCATAAGCTCTCCTCCTGGCAACAACTACACTTCAATTTTTTTTTTAATAATCCAATTAACTCTGAATGATATTGACTTGGTGGAACATAAAACAGTAACAGAGTAAAGTTAGAGAAGAGAGAATAAGGTCATCACTACTTTTAACTTGTCACAAAAAAAAATCAACACTAATAGACAAAACACTAGCCTAAACTTAACTGTACCGTTCCTAATCTTAAGTACATAATTAACCATTACTCCCACCCTTAACCTACAGCCACCTACGTGACCCAGAGTGTTTTCCTAGCTTCTCCGCCGGTCAACAACTCAAAACTGTTGCCACCCCTGTGACCAGACTATCTAACGTCGAGCGTCCCCAACGTGAAGTCTACTGACATACTAAGCCTCCCCCTAGCATGCTGTACAAGACCAGTACACCTCGGGTTATTGCGTTCAAATGGAGTAAAACAGTCGATCGCAATAATCTGAGCAGAACCACACTTAAACTACTTAAGAACTACACCTGCCACTCCCCACTGACCTGGAGACCAGCGGTGGCTGGGTGTCCCCGTGGGACATGCGAGGTCACCTGTCACACTCAGCTGACCTGCACTACCAACACCGCTAAGTTCCCAAATCGCCAAATCTTATCACTAACATTAATCACTACACACGCAAGTTCTGGTGAACATTCCCTGAACACCACAAAACTCACAAAATCACTAAACACAACACCAGAGAATCACTATCTCCTAACCTGAAAAAAGCTCGCTAAATCGCGAAAGTAAAACACCTGTCAAGATCTCCCTGATAGCGCCTGAGCGGCAAAAAGACACGTGGGACTGAACAATGTTAAAAGAACACCAACTACCTACAACATTGTTCAACACCGCTGCCATCATTGTAACGGGGGGTGGGGGAAATAGCTCTATCTTGTCCATTATTCCACCCCCCAGTTAACTAACGAGGCCGGGGGAAACAGCTCTCTCTAGTCCGTTATCCCGTCCCCAGTTAGCTAACTATTCTAGAGCACCCTCCAGAGTTCCTAAGGCAACCTCTCTCGTTCAACACCTTGTAACCTAGGTAATTGACTACCTAGGTGCTAAGACTACAAGGCGCCGTCACTTGATCAGTTACCCGAAACTCTAGAGAGAACTCTAGAATACATAATCATTGCCACAAACGTATAAGAGAAAGCGAAAGGAAAGAAATGAATAGTGAAGTAATTAGTGAGGGTTTGGGGTGAGAGGGAGAGAGGTGGGAGGAGTGAGGAGGGTCATTAGTTGAAAGTGAGAGTTTAGAGAGGGGGTGGAGGGAGAGGTGTAGATAGGTAGAAGTAGAAGAGTAGATAGTAGAAGTAGAAAGTGTAGATAGTAGAAGACGAAATGCTGCCACCATCCATTCATGATCATTACATACAAGACAAGGAATGGAACTTGCCTGTATCACAAAATTCTCAAAAGATGTTATCATGAGTTCATTATTAGTATGTTCCCTCTGTACCATGTACTCATTAAAATCAGGGAACCAATAATCCCCGAGGCTTTCTCACCTCAACTCAACTCTAGGGACACAGTGAAAGACCATTTAAATAATAAATTCAACAATTATATTTTTCATGATAAATATCATAACTTAAGCAATTCAATTAAAATGTTCCAGTTTAATATGCAAAGTGAGTCATCATCCAAGAATTCGAGAACCCTACAACTTGACTGCCCCTGATCATCACACAACATATGTAAACACGACCAAGTCACCTTAATGTTCACTCACCGAGTACTGAGTCTAAGTTGAATAGAGAGGGGGGGGGGGGGTCTGTAGCTTGACAGAGACTGTCTCGCCCCTGCCGGCCGACAGCCTCCCTGGTAGGGACGTCTTCTCTCTCTCGTCTGCTGCTCTGTCTGTTAATGCTTTCTGCTGGATAGCTCTCCGAGTTTATATTGGGGAACCTAGTAGCTAACTCCGCCCACAAGTAGATAGCCTCCGGCACTACCAAGCCACTCCTTAAACGTCGGCATGTTTGAAGGCTACCAGACTACAATTATCAGCTTAGCGGAAGCAAGGTGAAATTATCATGATCTGACCTCAGGTCACTTGGGGTCATTAACGGTTAGAGGTGTGAGATCTCAGGCAGACAACTGGCGCCTCTCAGATCCTTGTCTGTGACTCATGTACTCTATATATATTTTAAATAAACTAACTCAAACACTTTTACAGTGTTACATCCCATAACGTGCGAGTCTTCTGTGCCACAGGAAGTTTAGGTAGCGTGACCCCCGGCAGCAGTGGTCAGGTCAGCCACTGGTCCCCCGCGCCACCCCTCACCCACTCCTGCCCCAGTATTGGAAATACGCGTCTACAGGCATCTATCACAACAACATTGTGGTATAATTAGAGAACTGGAAAAAAATAAAACATGAACAGAAGTTCTCAGATTAACAATATTCAAAGAAAATAGGTGATTAGTGAGAAGTTATGTGAAAACCACATGAGGGAACTGTGAGAGTGTGGAGAGTGGCCGTCATCTGGCCTGATGACGCCGACGGTGCAGGTGGAGGCGAAGGTGGCCGGGCACAGTAAGTGCCTGGGCAGGGTCCATGACATCAGCTACTATCCCCAACCGTGGGACAATGAGGCCACTATCTGCACTTCCTATACACGTTACAGGTAAGTCTCGTTGCTGTCGTACAAGTCTATAAGTAGTGCCTCACTTCTTGATAATATGACATTGCGTGCGCAGTTGTGCCAGGGGACTCTACTGGAACCTTGCTTCCCCTGAGGCCGCCTGACAACTCTTCCTTCACAAGGCTGGGGTCACCTGGTTAGTGTGTGTGTGTGGGCGTTTGGTTCAGGTGCCTCGGTTTACTGCTTTCGTGATTGTCATTATTGTGTGGTTTAATTCTTGTATGTTACGTGTTATGACTTACTATGGATTGTACTTTGCGATACTGTATGCTACCTACTTTTATTGTCCCGTGTATGTTTGTCACCCATGTATGGAATGTTCCATATTTTGTACCAAGTGTGTTTGGAATATGTTGATTTAGTTACTGGTTGTGTACTGTTGTATAATATTGATCTTTTAAACCCGAGTAACTTTGTTTCTCGGGTTGTTTTGCTTCTAGTGTTTAAGTGATTATGTTTCCTTGAGTTTTTATTGTAAATATTATATGCTTTTTAAACAAAAAAATGAAGGTGCGACACCCTCGTGGTTAGCGAGGGTGGCGCGCACCCTCGTGGTTAGCGAGGGTGGGGCACACCCTCGTGGTTAGCGAGGGTGGCGCGCACCCTCGTGGTTAGCGAGGGTGGCGCGCACCCTCGTGGTTAGCGAGGGTGGCGCGCACCCTCGTCGTTAGCGAGGGTGGCGCGCACCCTCGTCGTTAGCGAGGGTGGCGCGCACCCTCGTCGTTAGCGAGGGTGGCGCGCACCCTCGTGGTTAGCGAGGGTGGCGCGCACCCTCGTGGTTAGCGAGGGTGGCGCGCACCCTCGTGGTTAGCGAGGGTGGCGCGCACCCTCGTGGTTAGCGAGGGTGTGGGCTACAGGGTGTGGACGTGCCTGGAGCCCAACAATGTGAGTCAAGGTGAGGAAGACTGCCGCTGGCATCGGGGTCACCTCTGCTCTCGTTATCTCATCTGGGAACTCTGCTCTCAATCAATGTTGTTGTCTTTGATAAGCGCTCACAGCCTCTTCCAAACACGAGGCTTTGCCTTCGTCAGTGTCTGCAGAATTGTTATTATTTCAAATAGTTGTTTTGTTTAGCTTTAAGATTACTTCATACGGTAGTACAGTTGTGTTCGTTCCCGGATCACAGTAGGAATCTCGGGTTCGAATTCCGGGCTGTACATAAATCTTTGGATACGTTTCCTTTCGCCTGGTGCCACTGTTCACCTTGTAGTAAATAGGTGCCCGGGAGTTAGCCAACTGTTGTGAGCTTGCATCCTGGGGAAGGTCAGTAGTTTGAGCCTAAAGTGTGCTGTATGTGTATGTATTCTGCCTGTGTCCTCTTGTTCATGTGCCATCCATGTCAAATTGCCCGTCCTTTTCTGCCTGATAATTTTCCTTGAGTATTTTGCATGTCGTGATAATGTCTCTCCTGCATTCTTCTTTCCTCTGGTCACTTGGGTGGCTACCTTGTGGAGGTTCCGGGGATCAACGACCCCGCGGCCCGATCTCCGACCAGGGAGGCCTGGATATAAATAGAAGCTACATCGTGTGGGCCAAGAGCTTTCTGCAGTTTCCTTCATTGTTGTCTTTGCCTCTCGTAACTTTACCTCTCAGCTCTGGGACCAGTCTTAAGGGACCCATTTCCATTACTGTTCCGAGTCTCATTGGCAAACATTAGTCTTTCACAGATATTAGACTTGTGATGGCTCCTTATACTGACACCCCGCGGGACCCAGGCTGGAAGCATGCCGCTCTCATGACTATTCTATCAATTCCACTATTTCCCACATGACTTTTCGGTAGAGAGTCGGTCTTGCTTTTTGCAGGGTTTGCAGGATCGAACTCTTAGGGTTCCATCCCTAATGGTCTAAGTGTTTGGGCACAGTTCCTTAACTCCGTCGTGACATCACAGCTTATGTTCTTATCCCTTCCAAACACAATATAGTCATCGTGGTTTAGTGCTTTCTTGAATCCCCCCCCCCTATCATTCACGCTGCAGTACCCACTATCAAATGTGGGGCACCTCCGTGCCCGTCCTCTTACCACCGTATCTGGCAGGAAGTGGCTCCGGCTAGGCTGTGTGTTACTCACGATTAACTCCGGGCCACTTAATGGACCAAAGACCTGCGCCTTATTGTCCGTAATACAGACAATAAGACCTGCGCCTTATTGTCCCGCTTACAGTCACGCATCTCTTTGAAGAATGTCCTGATTTTCAGCTCGATCGGAGATCTTGCTCTCCCAATATCCCTCGGAGTCACTTGACTCTCGATAAAATCTTTGATGAATGCGATACATTTGACATCGGTCGTCTTATATCTTTTTGCTCTCGTATTTTCATCCTGAATAATGTCTGTCTATATTCATGGTAAAATCTTTGTACCAGGGCGGACGGGAGTTTGGTGGAGAACTTCATAATCTACACCAGAGTGTGTGCGGGTTACATATAAGTTGGATTGGCTACCAGCTCGGTGCCTCCAGGGTCCTAGTGAGTTCGGTCAGACTCCAGGTTGTGCAAGTTTTAAGCTTATCGTGGTCCATGGGTCCGGCGAGTATCGCAGATGACCCAGGATGCTGGTTCGATCCCACCGTCCCTCCAAAGTTTTTTTTTCATTAATATCTAGTACGTTTTGATATGAACAAAATCAAGATATAAGGGCCACGGACGAAGTTAGACAATCTTCCAGGTTTTGGTACCTACGTTTGATAAATACTTGTAAATCGGGTAAAGATGATGAAAGTAGGTCACGCGAAGCTTTGGTATGCTTGAGCATGTACTTCGCATATAATGAGAAGTAGGTCGCGCAAGATTACGCTTTTATCTGGTGTAATGCACAAAAATTCTTTCTCTTGCATTGTTTGAGGGATGCCTCAACGACCCAAACCCTTGTGTCGGTATCTGAACTTTTGCTAAAACGGCAGATTATCTATATGATATATCTTGGCCATGATCCCCTTAGTTGAGATATCATTTTGAGTGTGTCTATCACCTGGAGACACCCACGAGGTCAAGCACCATGAATCAACGCAAGCACCATTTTTCTGTCTCTTAATACATATGGAAGGAATTACGAAGTACAAGGTGGGTTAATTATGAGGAGAAAGCGTTACCAGTATGACAATATAGTACTTCGATGGGATGCAGGGAGACAGGGAACTTACCTGGAAAGGGTTTCCGGAGTTCTACTCTCCGAGCACGGCCTAGGGCCAGGAGTGTTGCTGGGATATGAGGACAGGGAACTGGGATATCAGGACAGGGAGTTGGGATATGTAGACAAAAAACAAAAACAAATAAAATTCAATATATCTTGTTCAATTTATATTTAAATACAAAATTAAAAGCTATATTCCCATAGGTCCCTGATTACCATGTTTGCTTGCTGATCATTCGAGGTGAAAATAAAACACAAACTCGATACTTTCTATACACATAAGATTAACTTTCTTTTTTTATTAAGCTACTTACGCTTTCCTGAATAACAAGGCATAATAATTCCTGAATTATGATGTATAAAAAGGTTTTCAAGACAAAGCATCTTTGAAGGCTTCACTCGACTCGTCAGTGAAGAAGCCTCGCTTACTAGAAAAAGTTAATGTATATTAATTTTTAAATTGCTGAATTTTTGCCAGAGTATCATCTTGGCAATAAATAATATTCTTCACCCCCCTTTGTCACATGTTAGCTGATAATGTTGAACGCAATGTTGTTACACGTTGAACGCAATCTTGTACTTAATTTCTCTTTATATTAATCTTAGGCTTCGCACACAGGTCAAAATATTGCGGAAGAATACTCTTAAAATGTAATTTAATATTATTAGTATTGAGTAGTAGTAGTATTTATTATTATAAATTAATAATTTAGCATTATTCAGGAATAGTCCCGCTTTGTAGACGGGTCGTTAAAAAAATTAAATCAAGAAGGCATTTAGGACTCCGAACATAGCCTACGCCAGCCAAAATTCTAGTACGCTGCGCCTGCGTGAAGACCACACCTTTTGCAGCAGGAAATGAATTCTAAGTTCAGAAATATGCCACTAGAATTGTGACAGACATAAAATGATTTTGAAGGCTGTCTGAGGGAACTAAATTTATAAAGTAAATAAGGATAACGTGTTTGGGATACGAAGATACAAGCGGGCGAAATGAGTGGCCAGACAATTCGGAGATATAAATTCATCGCGGGAGTATTGACTGAATGCTTGGACTAGTTTAAGTTAAAAAAAACAGTGGAAGCAAACTCCCTCCCCAACGTTGCAGGGTGTAGAGGCAGCGGTACACACAGGTTCGACTCGGTTACAGCCCCGCTCCTGTGCCAGGTACGCCCACTATGGGCTCACCACAGCCCATAGTGGGTTGGGTGCTACTTGGAACTTTTTGTTCAGAGTAGGTGAATCTAAAACAACTAAACACAGGTACCTCGCAGCCGAGCGGACAGCGTAGTTATAAGCCCGGATTCGATTCCTGGTTAGGCAGAGACAAATGGGCAGTTTCTTTCACCTGATGCTCTTCACCGAGCAGTCAATAGGTACCTAAGAGTTAGACTGCTCTAACTCAGGAAATACAGGAAAATGGGTCGGGAGTCGGTACATTAGACAACCGATGGTTAGAAAGGCTGGCTAGCCGTCTAAAAGCTAACAGCTCGATCCTGCAGGCACAAATAATACAAATGGTAGATTGTTGACCAGACCACACACTAGAAGGTGAAGGGACGACGACGTTTCGGTCCGTCCTGGACCATTGTCAAGTCGACTGTCGACTTGAGAATGGTCCAGGACGGACCAAAACGTCGTCGTCCCTTCACCTTCTAGAATGTGGTCTGGTCAACATTCTTCCTCCACGTTATTGTGACTCGTCGCCTGCAATACAAATTGTAAATACTCGTCCTGCTGTGGTTCACGCAGGATGTGATTAACAGCCTTTTAGATCAGGTTATCACAAGAGAAGCCTGGCTCCAGGTCGGGTTTGGAAGCAGGACTGTGGGAACCTGCTCCAGGTGGTTCACAACTGCATATCTCATAAAACACTTGCTCACAGGAAGGGGCAGTGAGGGAATAATGTTTTGTTTTTCCTGCTCAGGCCCTAAGCCTCTGGCTGGCCCACTAAGGAAGTGATACGTGTTTCTTGTTTCTGTATTACTTAGGTGGAGTATGAGTATTTATAATCCGTATGTTCGCTTCAGTAAGATTATGCCCAATGTGTTTAACAACTGCTCTGTTTAATTTTATTTGAAATCTTATCGAGTTTGTAACTCTGCACTGTTATATAATGTTCCAGTGGTCTGTCGGGGGATGAGAACGAATGATAAACGTAAATAATGAGAACTGAAATAAATGTAGATGTATCGTTATCGCTTATTGATATACTTGTTTGATAGAAACGATTACAGATGCATATTCCCCAGATTTTTTTAAATATATTTCAGAGATAAGACTCGAGGCATGCCATCTCCAGAGACTTGGGTTTGAGTGTGATGTTCAGCTAGGCTACTGGGTGATACTGCGTCATATTTGTTGGCTTCAGGAGAAGCTTAGGGTTGTCAAGGGGGACAGTTGAGATGTTCTTCCATGTACACAATTTTACACCCCAAGGCGTCAGTTCTCATTAGACTTCAGTTCTCAAAATAGTTCTCAATAGACTTTACACCTCTCAGAACAGAAAGTTATTTGTAGTTAGGATAATTGTGTGTGTGTGTGCGCGCATCCCTAAGTGTTGTTACAGGATGAGAGCTACGCACGTGGTGTTTCGTCTTCCCACCACTTAGGCCTCTATCACCTTCTCCCTTAACTTGTTCCAACCGTCTACCACTGCAAAAAAAAAAAAAAAAAAAAAAAATCGGCACCTTTGTTTCCTTGGCTTGATATTTTTTATTTATTTATTTATTCATTTATTTATTTGTATTTATATATACAAGAGTTGTTGCATTCTTGTACAGCCACTAGTACGCGTAGCGTTTCGGTCAAATTCTTAATTCCATGTTCGCCGGAATACGACCCCGCCAAATAGTTCTAACAACCAGATATTTTACTGTTGGATGCATCCGGACGCAGGTTCGAATCCTCGTCACGGCCATGCGAGGCAGGTCCTGTTGTTCCATGCGAGGTAGGTCCTGTTGTTCCATGCGAGGCAGGTCCTGTTGTTCCATGCGAGGCAGGTCCTGTTGTTCCATGCGAGGCAGGTCCTGTTGTTCCATGCGAGGCAGGTCCTGTTGTTCCATGCGAGGCAGGTCCTGTTGTTCCATGCGAGGCAGGTCCTGTTGTTCCATGCGAGGCAGGTCCTGTTGTTCCATGCGAGGCAGGTCCTGTTGTTCCATGCGAGGCAGGTCCTGTTGTTCCATGCGAGGCAGGTCCTGTTATTCCATGCGAGGCAGGTCCTATTGTTCCATGCGAGGCAGCTCCTATTGTTCCATGCGAGACTGCCGTAAATGTTCAACGTAATGCTACCCAGCCAAATGTTGCCATAATAGTTAATTACTTATTCCATGTTAGGTTTCAGAGTACTCGCTCCTAGGATAAAAGACTGCTATCTCCAGTGTATACAATTGTTCAGCAAAAATTACCTTTTTGTTCAATAATGATTCCTCATTCGCAATATAGGCTATTCGGGGTTCCAGCTCCTGGACCCTGGTTTTGCGATGATTATATTCTCAGAAACTTTGACTGCAGTGACGCGATCGCCATCTTCTGTTTACAAAAGACTGTGCTCCAGACACCACCGGCGTTGGGTGCTCCGAGAGTGTCTACTATGGTAGGGATTTCGTGTGTAGTCAAGATGTACAATGAATGAAACTGTGTAGTGAGGATGTAACCTGTTGATGGCAGTATAGTTCGCGACGCACACTTAACAAATTGGTATTCTTGGGGACACCCCCGGGAGAGCCCGTTTAGTGAATGTTACCCTTATTCTTCAACCCCCCTTCCCCTTGAACGGCGGATGCCTCACCTAGTCTCACATATTGTATACTCATACTTGTTCTATGTTATCATTTCATATCATTTCTCAAGGAAGCTCGACCATAAGTCTCGCCTTCCCATTCTCTCTCCTCAGAACATGACTTCCTTGTAACGATACGTGTTTCTTTCAGAGTGTTTGTGAACGCCGAGGCTGGAGACCTGTCCTTGGAGGAGGAGGAGGAGGAGAGAGGTGTTGGAGGCCCCGAAGGGGTGGTGCCGAATGGGCGAGGGAGTCTGATCTGCGAACACTACGATCCCTCCCCCCGGAGCTCCGAGGACTCTCACAACGCCGAGCGCTTCGAGATAATGGCCCGGAACTCTCTCTCCTCCATACAGCAGCGGCGTCAGTCCACCGCCTCCGCCTTCATTAGAGAGCCGCTCACTGCCCTCACTGACGACCGTAACTGGTCATGGCGCTACCTCAGGGTCAGTATACACCGACACTACCACAGGGGTCAGTATACACCGACACTACCTCAGGGGTCAGTATACACCAACACTACCACAGGGGTCAGTATACACCGACACTACCTCAGGGGTCAGTATACACCGACACTACCTCAGGGGTCAGTATACACCAACACTACCACAGGGGTCAGTATACACCAACACTACCTCAGGGTCAGTATACACCAACACTACCACAGGGACCGACACTACCTCTGGTCAGTATAAACTAACTGACTTGTCTCGTCCTCAGGAGAGGTTCCGGATCAAGGACCTGGAGGACCTCTTCGAGCAGTACCAGTTCCGCCTCCACCACGCCATGCTCATCGTCTACCTCTTCCTCCAACTCTTCCTCTCCTGCGTGGACATCATCGCCCTCCTCACAACTCAGGTCAGCTTCCCTCATAACTCAGGTCAATCCCCCTCCCCCATTATAACTCGGGTCAGCCCCCCCTCATAACCCAGGTCAACACTCTGTCATAACTTAGGTCAGCCCTTCACAAAACTCAGGTCAACCCCTGTCATAACTCAGATCAGCCCTCGTTACGTTATAACTAGGATCAACCCTCCTCATAACTCAGGACAATTCTCATAACTCATGCTTAGATATGGAAACATTTTGTACAAAAAAGGTCTAAATAAGTTAAGTGGTTAAATGATTTATGGTGGATAGTTAATAATTTGTTATTATAGGTTCTGGATAATTGCTTGCCGTCATTGGTATTAAGTAGTCACTTGTTTAGCGCTCTGGATGTTCAGTGATTATAACCTTGTGTTGTTTATGGAGTCCTGACGTATTCATGCCCTTGGTGATGATTAGAAATTATCAGGTCAGAAATTATCAATGTTCAATAATTAAAACTGTACTGACAAATGAACAGTTTTCATTTAAATTTTGCCTCCTCGTATGCAATATTAGCCTAACATTTCAATATTATCATATGTTCTCGTAATATATATAATATAATACATGCTAAAATACATGTCCAGTGTGGCATTTTGATCTCGGCATCAATTTATATATCAAAATCCACTGAAATAGTTGATTTGTACAAATAAGTGTCGTAATGGAGATGAAGCACAGTTACCCGGGAGGAGCTGCAGTTCTGGGAGGCCGAGGACCTCAACGTTCTCAGTGCGTGATCATCAACGCAGAACACGGGGGGATATGGTTAACATCCATTACTGTAGAACGTAAATAAATGGCAAACTGAAAAAGTGAGTTATCAAACTTTATTCCCGGTGTTGGGAATAGGAAGCCTGTCCCCGCCTCCATAGGTCAACCACTGACCTTCTGCAGGGAGGGGAACCCACATCAGTTACCTAACTCCCGGGTACTCATTTTACTTATAGGTGAACAGGGGCATTAGATAAAATCAAACGTGCCCAACCGTTTCTATCCAGCTCTAGGATTAAAGCCAGGTTTCTTGGTTATGAGCCGAAGATGTAGACCAAACGTCTTGCTCATAAATTCTTGTGATTATTGATCCCTTTCTAACTCAATTATTTATTCAACATACTTTGGTGATCCGTCGTGATCGACGAGATCCGTGGCAGAAGGTAGACTGATCACTTGGCGTGTTCGCCTCAGGGAAAGTTTACCCTCCCCACGCACACTCACCCACCATGTGAACCTGGTTATCGCCTTCCCTCTGGCCGTACTAGACTGATACAGGTGATGCTGGAGACACCGCCGCAACATCGCTCAACTGAAGCACACAGGAGGGTTAACAGAGTGACCACGAGGCGTCAGGCACATGCCAGGACACACACTTCGAGAGGACGGCAGTTTGAGTAGAGGGGTGATGAGAAGTGATGAACTCTGGCAGTATTTGCGTATTTTTGCCTTCGGCCGATAAAGCGGCACAGACTCGTTGGACAAATCAATTTTACAGCAAGGGCCTGTTGAACTCCTGGAGCACTTGTAGCATGTAATGTCTTCACTAGCGTCTTATATATTTTTACAAATGTCTGGAGTCTTGCAAGTCATTTATTGTGGCCATGAAGAAAAGGAAACACTTAGCTGTGTGACTCGGTTGAAGAATTACATTAAATATACACTAGATAACGTAGGACATCATACAGAGGCTGGTAGTCATTCCCAAGCACTTGCCAATAATTGAGAACTTGGATGTAAAATGACAGGCGGACTGTGTTCTGTGTAACCCGATAAGGAGAGAGTTCTAAATCTAAACACAATCGGAAGGGTTCTACTCCTGCACCTTCTAAAAATAAAAGAAAAGGTTTACAACATTAAAATGGGCCACTGCGCTTGCCATCAGGTGACTCGAGTTTTCATTGATTTTGAGATTACTCAAAATTACTTATCAATTACCAAATGATTTCTCAATTAGTAATCATATAACGTTGTAGTTTGAAAGTGCCTTCACTAAGGTTAAAGATGATTTTCAAACCACAACTCAGAAGATGGAGAAACGATGACGTTTCGGTCCGTCATGGGCCATTATCGACTTGATGTCCACACGACTTGATAATGGTCCAGGATGAACCAAAACGTTGTCGTTTCTCCATCTTCTGAGTTGTGGTTTGGTCATTATTTCTTCAGCCACGTTATTGTGACTCATTGTCTGCACTAAGGTTAAAGTTTTTTCTGGACAGCTGTAGATTAAAAATGTTAACTTGTATAGTTGATGTACTTGATTTTGACTCACCGCTACAGCATGCAACAGAGGACCAAATGATACCCGAGGTGACGGGCCACGCGGCCACCCTGGCTGTGTGTGTAGCAGTTTTGATGTACATGTACAACGAGAACACCTTCCGAGAGTTCCCCAGGCTGCACATAGTCATGTCTGGCTTAATGGTGCTCACACTTTTCACCACAGACATCATCCTCACCCTCTACTTCCACTACAACGACGTCACCGGCGGCGACCACAAGGCTGTCAAGGTTGGTTGGTCAGTTTAGTGTTCGGGGGCTTAGTTTCGTCGCGTCTTTTGTCTGGGTTGTGTCCGTTCTCTTCCAGGATGTCTAGTTAGTGTTCTGGTTGTAGTGTTGTTTCTGTTATTGTTCCTTTGTGGTCCTCGTGTGGCATCTGTCTGGGCCCAGTACATGACCCGAGTTGGTCTTGTGTAGTCCTTTCGTCGTACAGGACCATATTTTGTTCCTGTCTTGTCTGCACCCGTGTTGGTCCATTGATTACTTGTTGTACCGAGTGAGCTATACCAATGGGCAACAATTAGGTACAAATCATTAGAAAGATGAGGCGAGCAATGTCCAGGTAAATGCATCAGGTTCAAGTAAGTTTATTGACATTGCAAGATTCATTGCAAAAGGATAGAGTGGCTTAGGCTGTTTCTACCCACTATTACAGGTCCCTCAAAGGGGCTTATAGATCTATACTGTACACATATATAATAATTACATTTTACATTACATTTATATTAATGTAATATTTTGTCATATAGTATATATTACAAAATGTATTAAAGGAATTTTAGTATTACATTCTTGAGGCAAAATGTTTGAAGCTCGTAAGAATTCTCTCAATTATACCTGCGCGCTACATGCCCTCACAAGCTACATAGTCGACATAACTTACGTAACTATGTTACGACATAACATGTAACATAACTTACATGCCTTATCTTTTTCACAGGTATCAGCACCGTATTGCCAGAAATATGTATACCCCCTAATCTTAACCTTGTGTATTAGTGGCGGAGGAAGAGTTAGAAGCGAGGCACTAATACAGAAGCTTAAGACAGCCATACAATTATGTAGAAGCAAGGGAGGGATTCCGATCATGTGTGGCATTCTTCCAAGATAGGGAGTTGGAAATGAACGGCTGCCTAGAGCACTTGCAGTCAATTGCAGACTCGACAAATATAGTATTTTCATTAATAACTGGGAACATTTATATGAAAGGAATGCTATTGTATGCTCGGGTTGGAGTCGTCTGTCAATTTGTTGGAATCTGTGGTTGAAGGTGGTTTGTTTGGGTTTAAACTGTTAAATGATAGTGATATCAGAATGGATTTGGGAAAAGGAGGGAACAAAAGTTTGGGTAAAAGGAAAAGGGATGGAGACCGGGCCTTAACATAACAATAACATTAAGGTGTGTATTACACAATTAACAGGAGTCTTAGAAACAAAATTGACGATTTAATTGCTCTTGTCTGCATAGAAACTAAATATTATTGCAGTAACCGAAACGTGGAATGAATTGTGAAAACAGGGAACTATTAGCTGAATATCAAATTAAGGGATTCAGACTATTTCACACTAATAGACAGATTAGACGAAAAGGAGGGGGGAGGAGTAGCTGTATGTCACAGGGAAATTTTAATATATTCTGTCAAAGAGGGAATTAAAACCGAGATGCAAACATATTTCTATCCCCTGTAACTACACTTTCACACACACACACACAGTAGGCAGCTTCCAACTAATGAGGCATTTGGTGTGTGGTCAGTTCGGGAACATGGTGTACGTGCTGCTGGTGGTGTACGTGTTCCTGCCTATCCCTCGCAAGTACCAGACCATACTCATGGCTCTCTTCCTCTCCGCCGGGTACCTCGCCCTCGGCTACTTTACCATCAGCGGCTCCAACAATGACAGCGACTCTTACCACGTCCTCACCAAGGTAAGTCGTGGCTCTCTTCCTTCTCACCCTCGGCTAATTCACCATCAGCGGCTCCAGTACCACCGTGAATCACAATATCCTCACCAAGGTAAAAAATGTTGCTTTATCCTGACCGGCTCCCAGTAATAGCTCTTGACGTGTCACCAACTCCCTCCTGAAGAGGGAGACAGTAATTTTATAAAGAACTTACTCAACCGGGAAGACTGTAGCACCCGCCAAGTGGGAGTAATATACGTCAACAAACTTAATTCAATTTTTCTCCATGGATTTTGAATCGCCATTCTTTGAACTTATCTATTATATTTTTGTATTTATACTTGTATTAACGTATTCTTTAGTATTTTGCAATTTTTGTATACTGATGTCTGTTATAACTTTATGATCTGCTTCGCCCCCAAGAATTATGTTGTATCGCGTTTAACGTTCTTAGGTGTCTTATGGCCTTTACAAATTACTGTGTTGTCTTCCAAGCTGACATTTGCATTATGTTTCGTATGCTAAAATCATGTGTAAAGCTAAAGCAGAAAAACCATGATGGCAAAACCAGGAACCACATGATGGAAATCCAAATACTAATAATGATTTTAAACAGAGAAAGAAAATACTTGGATAAGTTGCCTATTAGAACTTGGCATAAAGTGTAAGGGACCAGGTGAGTGTGTGCGCACTTGTTAATTTTTAGTCATATTTGTAGGTTCATGGTCGAGGTCCACCTTTGGACCTCGAATGTGGAGTCACAGCCTCAGTAGCCTTTACTGGTCAGGAAGAAAGACCTTAAGACCTTGGTCTTATTTGATCCTTGTTAATCATCTAATCTCTGTGTATTGTTGTTGTGTGTGTGTGTGTGTGCAGCGAGACACTGTGCTAACGTAAGACTCGTGTGTTGACAGATGTGTGTAGAGGCGAGTGTACTGTTGTGCGTCAACCTGGTTGGGGTGTACTGGAGCTTCATGAGCGAGGTGGCCTTCAGGAGAGCGTTTCTTGACATGCGCGGTAATCTCGAGTCCAAGTTTAAGGTACTGTGTATGTGGCAAGCTTCTCTTTATATCTTGCTTGCTTCTTTAATATCGAGGATTTGTTGCTGTACATTGAGTTTAATTAGGTGCAAGTAAGTTTTAAATATCTACATGGAATAGTAGAATATATACTATCGCTGATAGACAGGAAGCAGGCAAGAATCATGAAACACTGAGCACTCCATGATCGCTTTCTCTACCTTTTCATAACAAAGTTACACTCGTGCCTAATATATGACCAATGGTGTTCTATCAGCTTAAAATGCTGCCCTGTTCAATACTTCTTGTCTTCCCATAATCTTTTAATTTGTCTTCCCATAATCTTTTCATTTGTTTCATTTTCACTGATCCATATCAAGTTCTACACATCTTTGAGCTGATTAATACTTTACCAGTATTAATGAAAAAGAGGCAGATTTGTATTCCTTATTAAGTAAGGCTAAAGATATTACTGCATTATAAAAGCTAAGGTCTTCCTGTATGTAGCCCTACAGATTAATTAATTGTACCACACCCACTATCGCCCTGACCGGCCCCACCATACCAAAACCCACCATGCTTTCTCTCTGTGGCCTCGACAGCTGGACGCGGAGAAGGAACAGGAGGACGGGCTGCTGCTGAGTGTTCTGCCCAAGAACATCATGCAAAAGGTCAAGTCGGACTTCCGCAACATGATCGAGCAGACCCTGTATCACGCCAACCCCATCTCCAAGAAGAACCCCTTCCCGTGAGTACACCAACCTCTCAATTAAGCTTTCAAATGCTTTAACCTCGATCTGAGTGTGTCTAGCGTTTCTTTCTCTATATAATATACAAGATATTGTAGTCGATAGTTTTGTTGTTTTTACGTTTAGTTTCCACACTTTAGCAGAGAGATGTGAGCTAAAAGAAAAACTAAAGGAATAAGGCTTATGTCACTGGAAGCTAAGCGTTAGGGGGAGACATGATTACCATGTAGAATTCTCTCTAAATATTCTTATTTAGTACCAGTGGTACATGCATAAGGGAAGAAAAGATGAAACTAAGTAACCAAATGAATATTATTCAGGGGTAAGAATAATGTACAAATGTAATGCACTGAGAAATGAAGTGGTGAAGGCAGATTCCATCCACAACTTCAAATGTAAATATAGCCTAATAGATTAGATACCTGCACAGCAGTTGACTGAAGGTTGAGAGGCGGGACCTAAGAGCTGTGGCTCGTTGCTCACATAAGAGTACAATAAGGCAAATACAGATGGCACGCAAACGTCATACACACGACGGTTCTCCCTCCCTACCGCAGAAACCTGTACATCAACCGACACGAGATGGTATCGATTCTGTACGCAGACATCGTCAACTTTACCCCGCTGACCACCAAGCTCAGCGTCGGCCAGCTCGTCGAGATGCTCAACGACCTCTTCGGCAAGTTCGACGACGCTGCCGAGGTAGGTACTCCGGTCCTGTCCCAACGCTATAGTTATATAGTTAAGGCAGCTCCACGACCTTTGGAGACGCTCTATGGTTGTCTACCATGATGATCAGTGGGGTGCCTCCTTTCGCTATGTGGGTTCTCCTAACCAGTTGTTCACCCATGTGTTCATAGCTCCGGTCCTCCACCTCATTGCTTTTTCAGCCGTCCACTTTGATATGTGTATATGTATGTGTGTGTGTGACAGTGTCAGACCACGGAGGAAAATTGAAACAGGAATTTCCTTAAGTACTTTCGTATATTAATACATCTTCAGAAGGAGTATTCTGAAGATGTATTAATATACGAAAAATTCACTCCTTCTGAAGATGTATTAATATACGAAAGTACTTAAGGAAATTCCTGTTTCAATTTTCCTCCGTGATCTGACACTGTCACATTTTTAATCACGTTTATTTTTGTGATTTACACACATGTATGTGTATATATGTATGTGTGTATGTATGTATGCGTATGCAGGATATGTGGAACTGGTCAGAATTGTATTTCACCTTTTGTAAACGCACATTAATGACATTATGTAAAAAGACACATCGAACACTGTTTATGTAGGGCAGACGTAAATCTGTGTATTTATGTATGTAGGTTAGTTTAGTATTTTATAAGCACTACAATCACTTTCTGTGGTTGATTGATCAATAAAACACTGAACTATATGTTTAATAGACCGCTAACCCTGTCCATGGAGGACAGAAGAAAATGTATATATATATAATATATATATAATATATATATATATATATATATATAATATAAAATATATACTGTTTAGCATTGTAAATGTGTGGCCATGTCTGTGGTAGAAAATAATAAAAAAACAACTTTGATCTCGCTCACAAGGACCTCGCAGGATGAAAGGACGCATCTCTACCAAAATAATACAACAGGTACTGCGTACAAAGAGCTAGATCTGGTTTACTTTTGGAGGTCAGATGTAAAGTATTTTTAGTGTCTTGCTTATGGGGTTTAGCTGTACTTTAGGTCTGGGGTTAGCTAGGTTTTGAGGCTCTGTTTCATTTTTCACTTGTTAACTGAGGATTACACGTGTGGTTTATTGTTGTTGATCTCGTGTCTGTGTCTGTCTCTGGTGCTCCGTTTGATTCATTTACTTTGTCTGTTTATCCTGTTTCTCCGTTCGTCACCCAATCCGTCACCCTCAGCCCTCTCACCCAATCCGTCACCCTCAGCCCTCTCACCCAATCCGTCACCCTCAGCCCTCTCACCCAATCCATCACCCGCAGCCCTCTATTACTACCTGATTCATCTGCTCCTACTCCTCCCCCTCATTGCCCAACCACTTGGGCTGGACGGTAGAGCGACGGGCTCGCTTCATGCAGTTCGGCGTTCAATCCCCGACCGTCCAAGTGGTTGGACACCTTTCCTTCCCCCCGCCCCATCTCAAATCCTTATCCTGACCCTTTCCAAGTGCTATATAGTCGTAATGGCTTGACGCTTTCTCCTCATAGTTCCACTCCCCCTCTCTTTTTCCCTTCATGGCTCATCCCCCCCCCCTCCCTCTCTCTTGATTCCCCTCCTCACTCATGCCTCCTTCCTTTCCCCGTCCTTTCCCTCACACAGCCCCCCCCCCCTCCTCCCTCACCCTTCCCCTTCAGGCAGCCAGTAACTAGGAGACTATTTTCAGACTAACGCTTGCCTAAGGATCAAGATCTTGGGTGACTGCTACTACTGCGTGTCTGGTGTGCCGGAGTACACGAAGGACCACGCCAACAACTGCGTCAAGGTCGGCCTCGAGATGATCCACATTATCCGCGCCGTCAGGTAACACCACCACCATTATTACTCCATACTAAGATACAACGAGATCACTAAATCCTCGCATTACAGACGCAGGCGGGCGATGAATTCTCGCTGCGTCATCTTGATTGTCATTTAACCCCAAGCTGTGACTATCCCTCGTAACCGCAAGCTGTGACTATCCCACAGGGAGGAGAGGCAGGTGAATGTGGACATGAGGATTGGGATCCACAGTGGCAGCGTGCTGTCTGGTCTCATTGGTGTTCGCAAGTGGCAGTTTGATGTCTGGAGCAATAACGTCACCATCGCCAACCACATGGAGCAGACGGGCGTGGCAGGGTGAGTGTAGGAGGAGGTCCTGGTCAGTGTTGGAGGAGAGGGTTCCTGGTCAGTGTTGGAGGAGGGTGTCCTGGTGAGTGTTGGAGGAGGGTGTCCTGGTGAGTGTTGGAGGGTGGTGTCCTGGTGAGTGTTGGAGGAGGGGGTTCCTGGTGAGTGTAGGAGGGGGGTCCTGGTGAGTGTTGGAGGGGGTCTTGGCGAGTGTTGGAGGGGGGGGGGGGTCCTGGTGGTCCTGGTGAGTGTTGGAGGGGGAGCCGGGTAAGTGTTGGGGACTCTGGTGAGTGTTAAGAGTCCTGGTGAGTATTGGATGGTCCTGGGGAGTGTTATCACCACCAGTATGTCCTGGTGAGTGTTGGAGGAAGGGGTTCCTGGTGAGTGTAGGAGGGGGGTCCTGGTGAGTGTTGGAGGGGGTCTTGGCGAGTGTTGGAGGGGGGGGGGGTCCTGGTGGTCCTGGTGAGTGTTGGAGGGGGAGCCGGGTAAGTGTTGGGGACTCTGGTGAGTGTTAAGAGTCCTGGTGAGTATTGGATGGTCCTGGGGAGTGTTATGGGTTTCTAATGAGAGTTTGGTGTCCTAGTGAGTGTTGTCTGGGGCGTGAGGCTTAGGATGTAGCATTGAGAAGTGATGGAGATCACAGGGTCCTGCCGTGTAATGTCGTGTCCTGACGTGTGTTGTCCTTAACTGTCGTGTTCAGTAGTTCAAGTTCAGTCACTTGTACAGTATAAAAAGTAATGTTAAATAAGTTTACTAATTTGTAAGCAAATTTTCTTTATATTTCAAACGAGTTACTTGCCGGAGGAGAAACCTCCAGGCCGATTACAGGAAGCATCCCTTCTAAAGTAATTACGGGAGGCGGGGGTCTATCATATTCTCATTACCGTTATCTCATTCCACAGTCGGATCCACGTGACCCAAAAAACCCGAGACCTTCTCTCCGGCCTAAACTATGGCTTCGAACCCAGCGACGGACGGGCGAGGGACGAGCTACTGCAGGCGGAGGGCATAGAAACCTACCTTATCATCCCTAAGCAAGGGGTGAATTCAACCTTGCGTTCTGAGTGTTGGTTACGTCCGTTGTGTGGTCGTACGTGTGTCGGTCAGGGTTGCTGACCACGAGTCTGCGTCCTTCTAGACTAAGTGTTTGTGTGGGATGTGTATTCGTTCAGGGGACATTATACCAGTTGTTTAATTTGGTTTTAAACACGATGTTAATTAAAGCTGTGCATGCATGTATCAGTTTTTATATGTCAGTATGCATGTTTCTGTTGGGTTACAGTATATTCAACCCATCGTCCTGGTAAGATACTATTTTTTATAGCAATGTGGGCGATCATACAAATATCGACGTGATAGACAAATAGAAAGTAGAGTTTGGTACTATTCATTTTATAGTCCGGAAAAAATGAAGCTAAAAACCAAAGTTAAATATTCCTAGGCCTAGTATAGCACATGTATTATATTAGGCCTCAGAGTGTATTAGGTCGAGGATGGTTAGGTTAGGTTTCATTGCCAAGATAAATAAAAAAAACTTTTCTGGTTTGTCCAAATTCAGTAACCCAAGAGTGTACTTTCTATTGGGCCATCACGTCCATATTTGTACGGTCGACCACATCGTTGTTGTAAGTTTTTAATTATAGGAGAATGTTCTGTTATATTAAGGACTTTGAGGAGCTTTGGCAAGAATGTTTGGTATAATCCTTTTATATTAAGTGTGGCTAGATTGCAATAGGCTGAATTTTCACCCCGTTCTCCTAAGGTCTCCCAACGTCAAGAAAACAGTCAATGTAAAGTGTCCTCTTCTAATCTACCAGAGGACCCAAAACAAAAAACGGGACAGTACGTCACCTTCGCCCGCCTCTTCCATTTTCTAGTATAAAAGTTTTTGGCCTAATGTAATGCATACGAGCGAAAAGCGACGTTCTTTTTAAAGAGGACAGGTTGGAATTTTACAGGATAGTATCTTGGAAAGACTGTTCTAGGTACGATCCTAGATGAGATTGCCCGTGACAAAAATTATATAGGCAAAATCTTACACGATCTTGACCTTGTCAAGCATGTTTTTTAAATGATTCTAGAGGATATAAATCTTAGGCAAATAATGTTCTAGAAAGGATCCCTGAGGATATTAAACTTCACCATATATTCTAGGCAAATTCAAGATAATATTAATCCCAGCAAGAATGTTTTAGGATTCTAGAGAATAAAGTGTTGTTTAGAATATTCCAGGCAGCATTGTAAAGGATTTTAAGCTTGGCAAGAATATTCTAGATAGTATCCTAAATCATATTAACCTAGTCAAGAATGTTCTAGGTAGGATCCTAGAATATATTAACCTAGTGAAGAATGCTCTAAATAGGATCCTAGATTATATTAAGCTTGGAAAGAATGTTCTAGATAGAATCCTAGATTATATTAAGCTTGTAAGAATGTTCTAGATAGGCTCTGAGATTATATTAAGCTTGGAAAGAATGTTCTACATAGGATTCTGGATTACATTAAGTCTGGCAAGAATATTATAGAGAATACGGATGGGCGTGCAGTAGCTGGGTGAGATAAGATAATGTAGTGGCCGGTCTTGCAGTGTAGCACAGCTAGGAGCGTCCTGCCATGCCAGTATTCCCTACACTCTCAACATAATACTCGAAGCTAGGAGCCCTCGAGGATTTACGCATCCGCTTGTGAAACCTGAAGTTTAAATGAGTTTATTGAGCCTTACGAAACCTGTACATCTCTTGAACTATCCTGGCGACTTTGTGTACACTTACTGAAGAGTTCGGGAGCTTGGAACCCACCTGTGTGTGTGTTATTCCTATAGACAACCTTGTAGTGCTTCGAAGCTTACAAACTGTCTAATAATGGTAAACGAAGCCGCCATGTTTGGTGAAGGATGTAGAGGTTTCGTAAGTAGAAGCGTAAATGCTTGACGAATCTTGTGGTCCTGCACTGTCTGCATGTATCCTTGCTCAGTTGTCTGTCTTGAACTGGTGTGAATGCTATTTAAATATTTGATTTTGTTTTATGGTAATTATTTTCCCATATAACCTTTTTCCTTTATATAATAATAAGTTGTGTATGGCACACACGAAATTTTGAATTGATGCAAAGAACTAGTTAGAGCATGTTAACTAAGACAGTCCATCAAGCCCATACACTGAATCGCGGGTCATATTTGCGATAACTTGTGTGACCATTGAGCGCGTCTCGCTATGTGTAGGTCCTTAAGCAAACTTCATCAGTCACTGGCAGCCTTTTGTACAATGTCACACGCTCTAACACAACCTTCGAGTCTAGTTCACACACACTGGCACCCTCACACTCACTAAGGCACCCCTGTACTCATTAGGGCATCTCACACTCACTAGGGCACCCCAGTACTCACAAAAATGCACCCACATGCACCAGAAAAATAGCTTTCCAGGAATTGGTTTCCCTGAGCCCCCTTTTCCTCACTGGTGGATTCCAGGACGTGAACTCTGAGAGCTGCCATAGGTGTACAAGTATACACAGCTCCAGACACTAGGGAAGCACACCGACTTACACTTCAATTGCTCACGGCGACGTCGTCTTTGGTGACGTCCTCACCCAGACGTTCTCCATGGCGTCCCGGCACCTGCCTACTGGAGTTTGTCTTGTAGCTCTCTCGGCGTTTGACAGTGTTTGGGAGTAATTGTCTTACAAATGGCTTTGTTAGTAAGAATACTCTTGTCTCTTAAGTTTTCATCGTATACTTTAGCATCAAACCATAGCATTAATTGCATAATACGGTAGTTTTGTACTTTTAGTTTAAATGGCTTAATATAATACAGATTGTCACAGTGTAATTAAAGGCATAAAAGACAATACACAAAGGCCTTATGAATAGAGTTGCCCTTAAATCACCACGAGTTCCTTAAAATCCAGAGTGCACCGAGTGCATCTCCGCCTGCATATATACACAGCACTGCACAATAATAACTGCACACCCCAAAAATAATGAGGAACTTCCACTCTTTATTAGATCTGTAAAACAAATCTTCAAGCAATGTGCTATTTATTTAGAGCTGCACCTACGCTGGTAACTGCTCACACACCCCCTCCAGCACCACCTGGGCTAACACACCAGTCATCTCCCACAGCCGATGAACAACAGGAAGGTATCGTATGCGCAGCCAGCGTTCATCAAGCCAAGGATCTCCATGTCTGTAGACACCGAGCTGACGAGTCTCTACGAGGGTGACGTAGCCAGGAAGGTTGCCAAGGTGCATCTCCCGCAAGGTGCTGGCCGCGGCTCCATCCTCAACAGGGTGAGTCACAGTCTGGTTGGTATGCAGATCCATCCTTAACCTTTCACTGTCCGCCGAATAACTATGATAATCCTGAGAATGGGGTTTACTGGGTATTTTAAACTCGGACTTATGGGGAAGATAACACTGTCAGCCATCCCATACAATGAATAACTCTTCTCTCTCCTCTGCTGGGTCAGTTAATCTTAACTTCTACTCCAATGTTTGGCTAATGACCTTCTTAGCCACCACACTCTGGCCTCCACACCATGACCACCACCTTAGCCACGACCCGGGCCATCACATCATGGCCACCACCCTGGCCATCACCCTGGCCATCACACCATGTTTATCACCCTGGCCATCACATCATTGTCACCACCCTGGCCATCACACCATGTTCATCACCCTGGCCATCACACCATGTTCATCACCCTGGTCACCACCCGGGCCATCACACCATGTTCACCACCCTGGCCATCACACCCTGGTCACCACCCGCGCCATCACACCCTGGTCACCTCCCTGGCCATCACACCCTGGTCACCACCCTGGCCATCACACCCTGGTCACCACCCTGGCCATCACACCATGGTCACCACCCGGGCCATCACACCGTGGCTTCGCTCTTCATATATCTACGTCACCAAATTATAATTCTGACGGCGTACTTCCAGATACTCGGTTTACTTCTGTGTTCTATTTAAATTATAGTAAATAATACTTTCCTCTATGATGTGGTGCTCCAATTGTCCTGGACACTTGGACAGTTCCATAATTCCACCTTGGGACCTCTGTCCACCCAACCCTCCACCGGCCACCATTAATTTCAATCTGTGGCGTTTACAGAGACGATCGACGCACACAGAGAGCTCGCTGACAGGCAAGCGGCGGACGGTGGTGACCGACAGCGCCCTGGCCAACTTCCAGAGGATCATGGTCAACTCCAAGAAGTTTATGGAGGAAGCCATAGAGAGTATGCCGGTCAGCAAGTACGAGTGAGTGCACACCCAGGGTGGGAGACTAGAGCCCCGAAAGGGAGTCAGAGAATAGATTCCCAGGATGTGATGAGTTGTGTCCCAAGAGGATAGAGTGCACTCCTAGGGTGGAATAGAGGAAGTAGAGCCCCAGGAAGGCTAAGTATTTAGAGCTTCCAGTCAAAAGGTGCAGAGTGGCAGGTATTAAAAGTCCCGCCCAGGGAGGGAGAGGAGCTGAGGCGATGGAGGGTTATTATTTTTAACATCTTTATTGACAACATTTTATTACAATTTTGAATAATCTGAGGAATTCAGTTAGGTCTTATTAGAGTGAGGATAATGCTGGTATTCACTGCCACACAGGACAGAGTATCATCCACAAGACAATTAGTCTGAACTGTAGGCTGAAGCACACACATATCATGGTTTTAATCAATATTTCAATGTACGAATATGTGCAGGAATGGGTTCGTAAGAGATGCAGCTTCAAAATAATATAAATACAATTGTTGTTCATTCTTTAAAATGGACAAGCAAATTTTCGATAAATTGTTAGGATGTCTTCCAGTACACCAGATTCAATGAAATAGTTACAGTTGGTGGTACAATAGGCCAGGAGGCCTAAAATCTTTTACGGTTTCACATTCAACAATATAGTATTCTAGTAAATGCATTAAAGGTTTGTCACAGAGTTTACAATCTGAATATTCTGGTAGTGGTTCAGCCTCACTAACCTGCCAGATGGGTCTGTAGCCAAGGCGAATTCGCGCAATGACTACATCACATTGCCTTGTCCGGCTTCTGTGTTGACCATACAAATACCTATTATTACAAACGTTGTCATAGCTTTTAATACTGCAGCTTTCAGGTCTCTGGGCATTTCTTAGTTCTTCTAAATTTGAAGTAATTACTTTAATTTGTATGTTTCTAATAATTGCATTAGATAGTCCAAAGTCATACTCAGTGTTTTCTTTCCTGCAAGGTTCATTGGCCAATCGATCTACAAAGTCATGTTTTCCAACTCCATCATGGGATGGGATCCATACAAATTTTATATAATAGTTATTATCATTGGCAAAAATACCATTCCATTTAATATTACAAGCTACTTCAGACATAAATTGTGATGGGTTTCTTAGGACTGCAGAGCACTTTTAGTCATAAAATATCACTCCACTCCCATTGAGCTTAAGATACTCAGTGGTGGAGGGACTGCAGAACGACATCGATAGAGATAGACAGAGCTTTGTGGTAAAACAGGACCTCTGAAGTACGGAAAGTTAGTATTCGATGGGAATCTCCAGCGTGGTGGAGAGAGTTGAGTCTCAAGTGCTTGTATTGTCTCGAACATAGTAAGAGGTGTCTAGAACATACACCCCAGCGGCAAGATTTGGCACAATAGCTGCATACCTGAGTCAACTGCGGCATAATAATTTCATGTATACAGTAGATATGAAAGTGATACCAGGATAGTAGGATGGAGAGTGACAAGTTAAGGAGCAGGTGTTTATCTCGCAGCCAGTGGTTCCAACCGGAGGGCATCCACCCGCTGCTCTTGACCTTCAGCAAGGAGAAGTGGGAGGTCCCCCTCCTGCGGCAGGCAGACCCGCTCTACAAGTTCTACATCCTCGCCGTTACGGTCATCTTCCTCACTATCTTCGTCACCCAGGAGGTCCTCATGCCTGTGTAAGTCCTCCTTAGTATTCTTCCTGGCACACATTCACATCTCTTATAAATATATATATTTATTAATAAATATATATTTATATAAGAAAATCCATATATATGGTACCCATTTTAGGTTTATATATATATATATATATATATATATATATATATATATATATATATATATATATATATATATATGTGTGTGTATTGGTGCAGGAACCAGCTGGGGTGGGTGTTGGGGGTCGTGTGTGTGGGCGTGTTGGTGGTGGTGGCGCCTCTGGTGTGGTTGTCTACCCTCCACCAGCGCCTCGTAGACCCCCACAATGACCTCGATATTGACACCGTCCAGCGCCACCCCATCATTGAGTTCTTCTACGCCTCCTCCAAGACCATTATCACCTCCATAGGGGTGAGGATCGGACTCTTCCTCCTGGTGTGTGGCTCACTCTATGTCTGCGCCATCATTAATCTGGTGAGTGCTAGTTGTCTGTGTCAATGGTGACGGCTAGTTGTCTATGTCAACGGTGACGGCTAGTTGTATGTGTCAACGGTGACGGCTAGTTGTCTGTGTCAACTGTGACTGCTAGTTGTCTGTGTCAACTGTGACGGCTAGTTGTCTGTGTCGACTTTGACTGCTAGTTGCTTGTGCCAACGATGACAGATAGCTGCAGGTATCAACATTGCTAATTGCATGTATCCGTGATTGCTAGTTGCATGTATTGACATTGACTGCCTGTTATGTGTAACTGTGATTTCTAGTTGCAGGTATCGATAGTGATTGCTAGTTGTATGCATCAGCAGTGACTACTAGTTGCATACCTCAGCAATGACCCTGTCAGTTGCATGCATCAGCAGTGACCCCTGCTAGTTACATATATAAACAGTGACCCTACATGTTGCAGGCGTCAACGGTGACGCCAATTTACTGTGTATGTAGTTCAGCAGTGCCTTAATAATGTATGGAATTCAAAGCACCTGCCAATGTTTCCCAACAGCCTGAGTGTAAGACCTTGCTGGAGGCCGAGCTCTTGCGCAGCTCTGACGGCACGACCACCACCACCAGCACCGCAGAATTGGCTCTTCCTGGAAACTTCACCTCACTTCATAGAGGCTCAAATAATGTGCCAGCCCTCTGTTGCGACCCTTGGGTATGTTGTCTGCTGTGACATTTGGGTGTGTTGTTTGTAGTGACCATTAGGTATATTGTCTGTAGTCATCTCTAGGTGTGATGACCAAACCACACACCAGAAGATGAAGAAACGAGTACGTTTCGGTCCGTCCTGGACATTTATCAAGTCGATGGTGTCGATTTGATAAGTCACACACTCGACTTGATAATGGTCCAGGACGGACCGACACGTCGTTGTTTCTTCATCTTCTGGTGTGTGTGTGTGTGTGTGGGTGGGTGGGTGGGTGGTTTGGTCATCATATCTTCAGCCACGTTATTGTGACTCGTCGTCTGCATCTTTAGGTATGTTGTCCATTGTCACTCTTTAGTACGCCTTCTGTGACCTCTGGTTTTGTTGTCTGTGACCTTTGGGTGCGTTGTCTGTTGTGACCCTTGGATATATGTTGTGACCTTTGGGTATGTTGTATGTTGTGTCCCCTGGGTATGTTGTGACCTTTGGGTATGTTGTATGTTGTGTCCCCTGGGTATGTTGTGACCTTTGGGTATGTTGTATGTTGTGTCCCCTGGGTATGTTGTGACCTTTGGGTATGTTGTATGTTGTGTCCCCTGGGTATGTTGTGACCTTTGGGTATGTTGTATGTTGTGTCCCCTGGGTATGTTGTGACCTTTGGGTATGTTGTATGTTGTGTCCCCTGGGTATGTTGTGACCTTTGGGTATTTATGTATCCAAGAAACTTGGGTAAACATGTCCATTAAGTTACTTCAGAAATCATTAATTTCAGACAAAAAAAAGACAATTTGTTTTTATTTATAGCTACAATTTTTAAGTACAGTTTCTAGGTAGCGTTGTTGCTTCTTGTAAGAGTAGGTTCTCTGTTACATATGAGGGCAGAACTTCACCTACAGCTGCACACTGGCGCTGCTGGCGGTCTGGACCTTCTTCAGGATGCACTTCCTCCTCAAGTTTATCCTGTACATCGCCGCGCTCGCTGTCTACGCTCTCTTCGTTTACAACTTTGCCGAGGTTAGTTTTGGATCTAATCAATATCTCTACAGACCCGCATGGCGTTGCATCTAATAAGATTCCTGTTAGGAATCAAGACGGTTTTTTTTTTGGGGGGGGGGGGGGGTTACCCTTCTGTTTGTGACGAGTTTGCCTTCCCGCTTAGGGAGAGTTTGTCTTTCCACTGGTAGTACGTTCAGGCTAAAACCTGGAGCTGAACAACGTAACCGGTTCCAGTTTCTGGATAAAGGCTAAACCCCAATATAAAAAAAACTATTCCGACTCGATATTTGTAAAACTCTGAATATCAGCTCCGTATTAATGGTGTACGGCAGAGCGAACGTTTCTGTGATTGAATAATAATAATAATTGCAAAATGTTTGATGAAGATTTTAATTTTATACGAAAATGCTCAATGAGAATACAAATTCTTAAATTATGAAGAACTTTTGTGCCAGTAACATATTTTGCATAACGCACCACGCTATCTTGTTACATCTGATATATATTATATATATATATATATATATATATATATATATATTATATATAATTTGTTTTTCAGGTCTACAGCCACGAGCAGCTGGGAGACGTGTGTCCGCCCCTAACGGTATCTAGCCATGCACTGAGCACTGGATTTTCACACGTTCTCTTTGTCTTCACCGTCTTCATAGCTCTGCATATGATGGACAGGCAGGTGAGGCATGGCTTGGTTACATAAACAGGGGAGGAGTAGCTTGGTGAGACAAGCAGGCATGGCTGACTGTAACTCGTCCAAAGTCACTGTGGCTTCTGGCTCTATACTGCCTTGATACTTGAGATAAAGTTTTCATTAGGCTTTTAAAATCTTTGCCGTGTTAAGTTCATTGCTACTTCAACTGAAGGCTGGATGCTCCACGTTAATTCCTTTTGAGCTTGTCTTCGCGGTCCTTGTGCGTCGGAGACCGCAGGCCCGTATGGTTGATTATATGACATCTCTATCAGACATTGGCCTGTGTTTAATGGTGTGTTAATAGCATCATTTGTAATCGAGCTCCTGTTGTAATAATAATAATAGTTCTGTTTAATGCGTGATGACATTCCCAGATGGAGTACATCATGCGACTGGATTTCAAGTGGAAGCAGCAGCTGGAAAAGGAGCAGAAGGAGGCAGAGACAACTCATTTCGCTAACAAACTTCTCCTGCAGAACATCCTACCGCTACATGTAGGTAAGCGACTTCACTCACTCTCTCTGGAGGTAGAAATGACAAACACCGCAGTATTTCATTTGTTCACTTGAAAACTTTTGTCATCCAACCGTAAACAAAGTGACTGCAATTTTCAAAGCTTTCTACTGTTTTCACATGTCATACTATGTACAGACATTAACTGACAGCTTAGGATATATATCGTTAATGCTTAGGTTTTCGAGAATACCTGTTCACCTCTCGTGTCAGTCTGCTTGTCGGCTAGACAACCATCATGTCAGTCTGGTTGTTAGCCATACAGCCTTCATGTCAAGCTGAGACGGGGGGATATAAAGCTGACAGCTAAACTGATAAGAGTGGTGTATAGTTAACAGCCTGAGTCAGTCAGTCTGTGAGCTATAACCCACACATATGCACCACATTAAGGTCAGCACCCTTAAACTAACTTATTAAATCCCACTTCCCTGTGCTCCAATCCTCCAGAGTAATCTGGTCTCTCACTCCCCGCAGCCGAATTGTTCCTGGGCAGAAAGACGCAGATAGACGAGCTGTACCACGAGTCTTACCAACATGTGAGCGTACTCTTCGCCTCCATCCCCGGCTACGGTGACTTCTACCGCGAGAATTTCAACAATGAAGATGCCACCATGTGTCTCTCTGTACTTAATGAAATTATTTCCGACTTCGATATGGTAAGCCAGTGTGTGTGTGTGTGTGTGTGGTGGTATCAGCCAGAGTGCACATGCGATGGGTCAGAGTGCTTGTGAGGCTAGGTTACAGTACATGCAGTATGGGGTCTGCAGGGAAGGGAACGTGCAGTGTGAGTGCAGGGGAAGGGAACGTATAGTATGGGTCTGCAGGGAAGAGTACGTAAACACCACACTCACAGATGAAATAGGCAACATCAAAAAGAATACAGCAAGTTGTTGAGTACTGTCTTTCCCCCTCTAGCTAACGTACAACGTGGAGTTCCTGACCATGGAGAAGATCAAGGTAGTAGGAAGCACATACATGGCCGCCTGTGGTCTGCAGCCCGGCCGGAGGAACAGCGACGACTTCACCATCGAGGAAAGAGACAAACGGGAGAACGTGTTGACCATTACTAAGTTTGCCGCTGCTATGTTCGTGAAGCTGGAAGCTATCAACAAAGAGCACATGCAGCCTTTCCAGCTAAGAGTTGGTAAGTTTCTGAAACTCAAAGCATGCCACTTTTGATTGGTAAGGACCTGAAAATAGTAAAGACGTTTCACATTTTATACTGTAATAATTAATAATCTTATGTACGTAGCAAGAGCTTCACTCTTGCACAAGGGAGCAGGAGCAGCAATAGGGCCACAACTTTGAGACAAAGGAGGATGCAGCGTTTCTAAGATGCCATCAAGTATTTAAGAGAAAGTGGGAAAGGGAAAGTGGCACTGATGATACAGAAGCGATGTAATTCTGATAGAATAGCTGCATCAAAAGTATGTAGCTTGCAGGACTTCATCACAGGCATAGTAAAAACTGACGACAAAAGAACAGTGGTAAGTTATACACAACCCCTCGCTAAACAGGTTTCCAAAGAAAGAGTATGACGAGAACAACAGAAATCGTCTGAAAGTCACCGAAGAGGCAGCAATAGTGGCAAGTGGAGCAAGAACAATTCACCTTATCATAGGTAATTTTAATCACACACAAATTAACAAAACAATGAAGGGTCTCCATGGGAGGAAATTAATGAACACTTCAGGTTGTTACATTCTTGTACAAGAGTTGTTACATTCTTGTACAGCCACTATTACGCGTAGCGTTTCGGGCAGGTCCTTAATCCTATGGTCCCTGGAATACGATCCCCTGCCGCGAAGAATCGTTATTTCATCCAAGTACACATTTTACTGTTGCGTTAAACAGAGGCTACAGTTAAGGAATTGCGCCCAGTAAATCCTCCCCGGCCAGGATACGAACCCATGACATAGCGCTCGCGGAACGCCAGGCGAGTGTCTTACCACTACACCACGGGGACTGCTTCTAAGTAAGTACTTCTTTAAAAAATCTCATAACACAGACAACAAGAGAGACAGGTGAGGATAAACTAGTAATGTTATTCCTCGTCTTCACCCAGAATGAAGCAGATATTGAGAGGATAAAATATGAGGTACCCCTTGGTCCCCATGAGCCAATGAATTATAATATTCTATTACTTCGTGGAGTTGAAGGAAGTGAACAGTTGAATAGAAAGTTCAGGAGGAAGCTGACTACATGCAGCAAGACTACAGAAGGAAAACGACTTTTCGGGCAGTGCATTTTGATAATGAATTTGAGGGAGACAGTGTGTATGCAGTGCAAAAATGCACAGGAATACATGCTGCTTATGAAACAGGTATTAAAGAAGATCAAGATTAGCCAATAGTTCAACAGACTATGCAAGGAAGGCAAATGCAGAAGAGAGTGCATGGAAAAGGTACTGGTTACAGACAACCATGGCAAACAGGGAGGCACTATGAAGGGCCAAAAGAAAGTACACTAAAGTTAGGAGAGAATCTGAGACTTTAATAATGACAGCAGGAAAAGCTAAAGCATAGCCCAAGCTACTGCACAGCTGTATAAGAAAACAGACAATGGCAAAGGACCAAATTATTAGGTTAAAAGGAGATATCCTCATAGAAAGTAACAAAAAAGTTTGTGAAAAGTCAAATAGAAGAAATTTTCGACTGAACCAGAGTGGAGCCGTGGCCGGGATGACAGCAGAAGAGTAAAGATAACAGCGAGTTATAGGCTAGTTTCTGAGGGGATAGTGAAAAATCTTATCGACTTGGACGTAAGCAAGGCTGTAAAACCAGATCAATTGTCGCCATGCTTACTGAAGGCAGCAGAGATACCATGCAACCCACTAATTTATAAAGCAGCATTTGTAAAAAAGAGAGCTGAACATCTGGAAAGCTGTAGACGTGATGCCAATATTCAAGAAGAGAGACAGGGGGAAGTAAAGCACAGAACAGCTTCACGAACTCGCATTCCGTCTGGAGTAAATTAAAAATAACTAATGTCTTTGAACGACTGGGAAAGACAACGTTTGTGACAGGCATAGATTTCGAGGGGCAAATGATGCCTGACGAACTTGGCAGAGTTTTCTGTGACCAAGAAAGAGAGAGGGCTTAGTAGATTGCATCTTCTTTATCTGCCGAAATGCTTTTGATACTATTCCCCATAACAGACTGACAAAATGAAAAGGCAGGCTGGAGTAACTGGGAAGGTACTGGGTAACATAATACATGATAGTACTACATGATGGAAAGTGGTGAGCAGGGTCCCACAGGGTTCAGTCCTTGGACTCTTACATAGAATGACCTGCCTAGAAGGTAAGATTTCCCATGGCATTGTTTGCCATCCATCTGAAACTGGCAAGATGGTTAACTACTGAAGGTCGTATGATACTACAAGAAAATCTAAACAAGATTGGTCAAAAAATAGTTGCTGGAGTTTAACCCCCGATAAATGTAAAGTAATAGTTTGGAATGGGGAAAAGGAGAGCAGAAAGATGGTTCATAAGAGGACGCACACTGCAAGAGTCAGGGGAAAAAAAGAATGACCGAGGAGTAGACATACCATAAATATTAATGCGAGTCCTTAATTCGTATTATAAATATAATAAATTCTGCAGCATATGCAACACTGGCAAACATATGAGAGATAATTAGAAACGTAAAATAAGTTATTATTCAGAACACTATGCACAGCTAGTGTCTTTTTAGAGCTCCTAGAGTCTGGAGCTCTAACATGGAATCCAAGTCTTATGAAGCACAAGACCAAAATAGAAAAGGCCTTAGAGATGTACTTCGAGACTAGACCTGTAGGGCAGCAGGTCGGCTTGCAACCGACTGTTCCAAAGTTCGATTCCCAACAAATCAAGACGTTTGGGCACGTGACCTTACGCCTAATGTACCTTTTTACCTAGCAGTAAGTATATACTTAGAAGTGATATAACTTGTGTGTTGCATTCTGGAGAAAGATGGTTAAAGGCATGTGAGTACCTGTAGACGCCTAACAGGGCTCCTGTCTCTGACAATGGGGAACTGTGTGTGTTATGGGGGTACTGAAAGAATTCGACCTAACAAAATTACAATGAAAAAGTTCCAAAATGTGATATGATCAAAATATATAAGATACTGAAAGGAATAGATGAATTGGATCTAGCCTTTTCCAGCTGAACGCAGGTAGAACAAGGAAGAACAGTCGCAATCTGGAAACACAAATTAGTCTGCTAAATATAATATAAGGAAATTTTCATATGCAATGCGTGTAATAAACAAATGGGACGTGCTTGAAGTAGAATTCGTATTATCTACCGCTCCACCGCTATTCACAAGTTCACGAGCAAATGTGACAGTGCATTTGAAATGTCAAAAATAATAAGAGCAAAACAGTACACGAAGTAAAGGTGGTATTATACCGTAATCAACGTACTCCACTAGTTGTGCTCGCGGGGGATGAGCTTCGGCTCTTTGGTGCCGTCAGACAACTTCTGTGCAAGTTCCTAACCATTTACAGTTTATACCGTTAAATAAACTGTAACAGCATTTGTTTTGTTTTGTTAACCAATGTATCCATACTAGCTATCTAGCCAGTAGCAAAATTTATAATTTAACAAAGTTTGCTGATAACTGGTGGTTTGCAGGTATCGACGTAGGGCCGGTGATCGCGGGAGTGGTGGGCGCCCACAAACCCATGTACGACATCTGGGGGAACACCGTCAACGTCGCCTCCAGGATGGACTACACGGGCCTCGAAGGCAAGATACACGTACGTTAACTGGCCTCTTCGTTGATGCTATACATTTTGAACATTTGGGAATATGCAATAAATTAGGCGCCTAGATATGTAGTGTTTTATTATTCAAGATACAGGCAGCATAAAATTAATTGCTTTTCTCATTAAATTCATATTTATGTAATTTTCTTTTAAAATATACGTTAGTTTTATCACATGATTATGTCCTTTCACCCACGTGTAGGTCACTACAGAAGTGGGCAAGATCCTAGAGGAGCTGGGATGGAATGTCCAGTGTCGAGGAGAAATCCTTGTCAAAGGGAAGGGAATTATGATCACATACTTTGTGGACCCCACGAGTGATCCAGGTGACCCTGCTCAGCCCTCTGGATATAACAACAACAGCAGCAGCAACAACAACAACAACAACAAACCAGGCCATGACCCGACTAGTGAGAGAAGACGTAGTAGTCAGCTCAGTCTCAATTCTTTAAAGGGTCTTCTGTCGTCCCACAGAGGCAGCTTGGACATCAACACCAGCAAGGAAGAAGACACTCAGAGCACACAGTCTTCTCCTGCATATAGACCAATAACAAACGGGGTAGAAAAACCTGTAAATATTTATGATAATGAATTTCAAATTGCAGCTATGGCTCCTCGCTACAGTTTAGATTCAAGAATGGCAGAGCTCTCAAAGGCAAAATCTAAAATCAATAACCCTTCTTCAGTTTTGGAAAACCACGAAACGTCTTTCGATGACCATGACACTGAACAAATAGCCATATGTAACACATCATTTAATCCACCACAGCGACACTCGTTTTCAAGTTTTTTAGAGTCTAAGGCGGATAATGTTATTGCTGACGCTCCGAAATTACTGGTACAACATAGCTCAGTGGTATCTCCTAGTTCACAAAGTACCAGAAGTGTGCCAGTCGTTCCTGTCCATGGTAACTTGATCACAAAAGCTTCCATGACTAGGGACGGTGCTAATTCTTGGTGTTCTCAAGACATCATGAAGGAGAGGAGCCAATCCAAGCCACTACACGACTCCCTCACGATACAAAATGAAGAGTTTGACAATATGCGCTTTTAAAAGCAACGACTCACTTGACACTTTGAGAAAATGTGATATTAGTGATAACTTTTAGATTACTAAATGTTCAAATATATTTAGACTAAAACTAACTACTGTGAATTTAACAAAAATATGGAGTATTTTTGTATGTTTTTAAACTAATGTAGTAAGCATTAGTCAGTGTTGAAACGTCTATGTTTATGAATAGGAGCCTACTCATATAGACAACATTATACACAGTCATTATCCTGTAAATTGGATAATTGTTATTTGCAAAAGCTTTGGGTGCGGTCCCATAGACTGAGTGATGTGACAAAGAGACGACCGAAAATTCTCTGCACAGTGATGCGAGTCCTACAGTTGCAATTATGAGACAGCAGGAGCAGTGTGCTGGGAGGAGCAGTGCGCTGGACGGGAAGTCATTGAAGGCAACCTTTGTTAGTGTATTTTATTAGTTTCGGTGTATTGTTACACGCAATGTATTACTGGTGTTTATAGAGAGATACCTATCTCTGTCTTTTATTTATACGACGATAACTTTATCGAGTTGATCACTGCCTAATAAATATTATGTATTCTGCTATAAAAAAACTGATCTCTACAGATGTTGAAAATCATTCCTCAATGGTTACTACTCAATAAACTCCCTTAAACAACGTTATATCTGACGCGAGCGCATTAAAGCTGCGAAAGTGTTCAACTTAGATATTTAACTTCCCGAGATGTTCACCTGAAAATCTTGCAGTTATTTCAGAAATTATATCAAATATTTAATACATTTTTGGGTTGACTTTTATTCTCCTGCCCAACTCAACAGAAGTTAGGCAGAAAATTTTTATGGAAAATGTATAGAAAGATTCATGTACTGTACATTATATTGTATTTTTTTGTGCATCCTCTAGGTGACATACAATATGTAAGAATATTTATAAATAAATATTTATAAATAAAAACGTCAGATAAATTTTAATTCTCATGTCAGTAATATCCAAACTGTCTCGACATGTCATTTGTTATGATGTTGGTCCTGTGTTGTGGGGGATGGTCCACAGTGTAAGCATTGAAGAGTATCGAGGGGATGGTCCAGTGTTGTGGGGATGGTCCTTATTTAACAATAATGGTCATTACACTTGGTATTTAAAGTAACAGTAGAAGTTCCACAAGACTGCAGCTTAAGCTAAACAATCATGAACCCGATATTTTAGTAAACGGAAAACTATACTGTACTTATAAAGTTAATAACTTACAAAAATCAATTAGAAACGTGCATAATCTTGTATGAGCTGTTTTGTACATATATAAATATGCATGGAAACTGTCCCTGCGATATTATAATTAAACCTGGATGTATTGGAAGGTATGATTATTCCCGGTGACACCTGGGTGGTCAATAGCCAACTGATCTCGTAAATGTCTTACTCTGCGCGTACACCGTGTAGCGATCCGACAGTTATGTAATGGCCTGTTCACAGAACTAACCTTGGCTTATTTCCTTGTGGAAGGAAAAATGCTTAAAAAGGGATGTGAGTGCTGGTGGTAGGTGGTAGAGTTGGAGGGAAGGGGTGGTGACTTGTTGCTGCTGGGGGAGGGGCTTGAGGTTGATGGGAGAGGGACAAAATATACCGGAGATGCAATCGTGTGAGAAAAAGGTACTTTCACTAAGATCCTCTCAAGTGTCAAAAGAAGGCACCAAGCCGGGTAGACTACGTAACACCAATCGTTGGGAGGGGGGGGGGGGGTATACGGGCTTCATCTGCAGAGTTCTGGCCAACGTATTTACTTTCGTCCGCTGGTCAAGTTTTTATTACTTGATTTAATCATTGTCTATCTTCTATATCTATAAAATACGGATGACTGTCTGTGTAAGGTAAAAGGTACGTAAGTACCATAGAGGTACGTAAGTACATAAGTACCAAACACATACCCATAAAGGTACCATACTCAATCCCATATAAGTGTCATACATATGCCCATATAAGAACAATACATATGCCCATTGAGGTACCATACAAAAGCTCTTATAAGTAACATACATATGCCCAAAAAGGTACCATACTTATGCCCTTATAAGAACAATACATATGTTCTTATAAGTATCATACATATATCCTTATAACTACCATACATATGCCCTTAAAAGTACCATAAATGCCCATATAAGTACCATTCATATGCCAATATAGGTACCATACAAATGCCTTTATAAGTAGCATACATATGCCCATATACGCACCATGCATAGTAGTCTCTAAATACATGAGGAATATAGATATAATGTTATTTTGATTATCCATTTATTATTTAGCTCAATTTGATCATTATTACATTTTTTACAATTGATTTTCCTTAGTAATTTGTTGAGAAAACACGATGATATTTTTGATATTTGAGGTGGCTGTATCTCAGTAAATATGGCTGTATAGGCGTTAATATTTAAAATTAGCAAAGAAAGACTTTATAGAAAGAAAGGTAAATTGCTGTGGTAAACACAATGGTACCATTTTCAAAACGATTCTATGGCTGGTTTTGATTTTGAGTTTTGTGAAAAATGACGATTTCGCCAGGGCTGGGATTCTTTGCAGGCGGCGGGCTGTATGTACCCCATCTTTGTCTTCGTCCGCTGGTCAAGTTTTTATTACTTGATATAATCATTGTCTATCTTCTATATCTATAAAATACGGATGACTCTCTGTGTAAGGTAAAAGGTACGTAAGTACCATAGAGGTACGTAAGTGATAAAAGTAATTGCGAAACTCCAGTTATCTAATACTTATCATAAATTGTATAAAACCTTATACAAGCCAAGGGATTTGTAGATCAGTGTTAAAAAGGGAATTCGGAAGTAAAAATAATACAGCAGATGCCATCTGTCGGCAGAAGAGAACACTATCAACTGGCTGGTCAACAGTGGCCATAAGATACAGCTTACGCCATCTGTTGACATCAAATTACACTTATAACAAATTACCCCACAAAATACAACTAACGCCATCTCGTTTTTTTCCAACGCACTATAAATAGCCAAACAGCAACCCATAAGGTGGGTTGTTGTGCTCGGGTAGGAGGTTCCAAGCTCCGCCCACAGATGGTATGGGGTGCATAATAAATGGCATATCATTGGTAGATATTCTTTGTTGACATTCACACAACAGCCAATCACAGGAAGGGATCAGCTAAAGGCTCCATCCACTTAATAAATCATCTTTATTCAGCACACCATCCTTGCTTATGACATTCTGCTTCAACTTTAATCTACCTAAAAAGTGAAATGTTAAGTATTTAAAAGTATTAATATAGTGATAATTAAATACTGCAGGATGTAACGGGTGTTACAGAAACATGGGCTGGCTACCTAACTTGTGACGTCATCAGTGGGAGTTGCCTCACACAAATAATATCGGCGATACAATGCCTCCGTCCTCTTATTGGTCTACATTATTCAGTTAGATGGAAATGTCTGTCTTGTATAAAACAGACATTGTTGTTCTTTTGTACAACAACACCAAAGTTGTTGAGCAAAAGGACGTATTTCTTATTTTGCATTTTATTCATATAAGCGTTGGCATTCCCCGCAACAGCCAATCACAGGAAGGTATTTGCTGGAAACTCTGCCTTCAACAAAGTTTATTCCTAATGAACTCTAACAATAAATTTGTTTAATAAACGAGTATTTAGGGTCAAGCTACAGATGAACATTATAGCATAACGTTGTTTTAGCTTGCAGCTTCGTTAGACAGAATCCCTGGACTTAATTTTAAAAATAACTAGAAAACGTATTTTATTGCTAACTTTTCGAGAAATTTTCCGTTTCTGCCCGAAACGCTGCGCGTACTAGTGGCTTTACAAGATTGTAAATACTATACTATGTACTCTCACAAACCCAATGTACCTTCTTGTATATAAATAAATAAATAAATAAGAAATAAATCCCAGCCTAGAAACATAGAGGTACGTAAGTACATAAGTACCAAACACATACCCATAAAGGTACCATACTCAGTCCCATATAAGTGTCATACATATGCCCATATAAGAACAATACATATGCCCATTGAGGTACCATACAAAAGCTCTTATAAGTAACATACATATGCCCAAAAAGGTACCATACTTATGCCCTTATAAGAACAATACATATGTTCTTATAAGTATCATACATATACCCTTATAACTACCATACATATGCCCTTATAAGTACCATAAATGCCCATATAAGTACCATTCATATGCCAATATAGGTACCATACAAATGCCTTTATAAGTAGCATACATATGCCCATATACGCACCATGCATAGTAGTCTCTAAATACATGAGGAATATTGATATAATGTTATTTTGATTATCCATTTATTATTTAGCTCATTTTGATTATTATTACATTTTTTAAAACTCATTTTCCTTAGTAATTTGTTGAGAAAACACGATGATAGGCTTGATATTTGAGGTGGCTGTATCTCAGTAAATATGGCTGTATAGGCGTTAATATTTAAAATTAGCAAAGAAAGACTTTATAGAAAGAAAGGTAAATTGCTGTGGTAAACACAATGGTACCATTTTCAAAACGATTCTATGGCTGGTTTTGATTTTGAGTTTTGTGAAAAATGACGATTTCGCCAGGGCTTGGATTCTTTGCAGGCGGCGGGCTGTATGTACCCCATCTTTGTCTTCGTCCGCTGGTCAAGTTTTTATTACTTGATTTAATCATTGTCTATCTTCTATATCTATAAAATACGGATGACTGTCTGTGTAAGGTAAAAGGTACGTAAGTACCATAGAGGTACGTAAGTACATAAGTACCAAACACATACCCATAAAGGTACCATACTCAATCCCATATAAGTGTCATACATATGCCCATATAAGAACAATACATATGCCCATTGAGGTACCATACAAAAGCTCTTATAAGTAACATACATATGCCCAAAAAGGTACCATACTTATGCCCTTATAAGAACAATACATATGTTCTTATAAGTATCATACATATACCCTTATAACTACCATACATATGCCCTTATAAGTACCATAAATGCCCATATAAGTACCATTCATATGCCAATATAGGTACCATACAAATGCCTTTATAAGTAGCATACATATGCCCATATACGCACCATGCATAGTAGTCTCTAAATACATGAGGAATATAGATATAATGTTATTTTGATTATCCATTTATTATTTAGCTCAATTTGATCATTATTACATTTTTTACAATTGATTTTCCTTAGTAATTTGTTGAGAAAACACGATGATATTTTTGATATTTGAGGTGGCTGTATCTCAGTAAATATGGCTGTATAGGCGTTAATATTTAAAATTAGCAAAGAAAGACTTTATAGAAAGAAAGGTAAATTGCTGTGGTAAACACAATGGTACCATTTTCAAAACGATTCTATGGCTGGTTTTGATTTTGAGTTTTGTGAAAAATGACGATTTCGCCAGGGCTGGGATTCTTTGCAGGCGGCGGGCTGTATGTACCCCATCTTTGTCTTCGTCCGCTGGTCAAGTTTTTATTACTTGATTTAATCATTGTCTATCTTCTATATCTATAAAATACGGATGACTCTCTGTGTAAGGTAAAAGGTACGTAAGTACCATAGAGGTACGTAAGTGATAAAAGTAATTGCGAAACTCCAGTTATCTAATACTTATCATAAATTGTATAAAACCTTATACAAGCCAAGGGATTTGTAGATCAGTGTTTAAAAGGGAATTCGGAAGTAAAAATAATACAGCAGATGCCATCTGTCGGCAGAAGAGAACACTATCAACTGGCTGGTCAACAGTGGCCATAAGATACAGCTTACGCCATCTGTTGACATCAAATTACACTTATAACAAATTACCCCACAAAATACAACTAACGCCATCTCGTTTTTTTCCAACGCACTATAAATAGCCAAACAGCAACCCATAAGGTGGGTTGTTGTGCTCGGGTAGGAGGTTCCAAGCTCCGCCCACA